TTTTTTGAGATGGAGTCTCGCTCTGTTGCCAGGCTGGAGTGCAGTGGCGCAATCTCAGCTCACTGCAACCTCCGCCTCCCAGTTCAAGTGATTCTCCTGCCTCAGCCTCCCGAGTAGCTGGGACTACAGGCATGCGCCACCATGCGCAGCTAATTTTTGTATTTTTGGTAGAGACGGGGTTTCACCACGTTGGCCAGGATGGTCTCCATCTCTGCACTTCGTGATCTGCCCGCCTTGGCCTCCCAAAGTAAGGATGCATTTTACAACCAGCGATGTGTCCCAGTTTAATTGGGCATGATTTTTATTTCTTAGTGGTAAATAGTGAATTTCACCATTGATGACAGCTTAGATTCAATAATATACAAAATTTTTTCACTTAATAAATTCTAGCTCTCAGGAACATGGGATTATATAATTAGGAAGAGCTGAGAACCACATTTGTGGCTGGAAAATAGAATGCTATCATTTTTATTCAGTTTTTGCCCTTGCAAAACAGGAACCCAAAGAAAGAAATGAAGTAAAATAAGGCTCTTGTGAAGCAGAAGATAGTTTTAAGTACCTTAAAATAGTTTAAGTAGGGAAGTCCAAATTACAGAGGCAGTAGCACTTTTACTCTCTGGAAAAAGGAATACTTTCATAGAAGCTAAACGAACCCAAGCAAGGTCAGAGGAACGAATAGCAGAAATTGCCTCAGCAGCACAGAATATGCAAAAGTGACTGCCTCCACTCTACATCAAGTAATGTGTCCTCTCTGAAGATGAAAAACAACTTTCTAAAATTCTTGGAATTTTTCAGGCTGCTATAGCAAGGCAAAGGAGTCTTAATGGAAATAGAGACCAGGAGCCCAGTGAAGTCTACCCAGGAATCTTAGCCAGTGTAGTGAAGCAGCGGTGAACATCTATGCTTGAATATTCTTCTCAGGGTGATAGACAGTAGCCATTGGATCAAGCAAGTCAGCTAAATATATAATTCTGCTTTACAGGGTAGAGTTCACCATGAACAGTCATCTATTTCTACTCCCTACTCTAGAAAAACAACAGTAGGTCACCTCACAGAATACCAGGTAAATTCACATTGGTATCAGGGAGTCCAATATTATAGGTGAGAATAGTACACTGTAACAACAAACTGATATGTAGATTTTGACATTTACACAGTTTTAATATTTTTAGTAATGTTTTGGCCAGTTATATCTATCATGAAGCAAGGAACACTGATGTTGAAACATAATTTCTTCTTTTCTTTTGAAATGGATTCTCACTCACTCTGTTGCCCAGCTGTTATCTCGGCTCACTACAGACTCCGCCTCCTGGATTCAAGCGATTCTCCTGCCTCAGCCTCCTGAGAAACTGGGACCATAGGTGCACATCATGATACCCACTGATTCTTGTATTTTTAGTAGAGATGGGGTTTCACCATGTTGGCCAGGTTGGTCTTGAACTCCCGACCTCAAGTGATCCGCAGGACTAGGCCTCCCAAATTGTTGGGATTACAGGCGTGAGCCACACGCCCAGCCAGAAATACAATTTCACGAAAAGCATTAAAAATGATAATTCTGGCCCGGCGTGGTGGCTCATGCCTATAATCCCAGCACTTTGGGAGGCCAAGGCAGGCAGATCACGAAGTCAGGAGATTGAGACCATCCTGGCTAACATGGTGAAACCCCATCTCTACTAAAAATATAAGCTCAAGCCTGTAATCCCAGCATTTTGGGAGGCCGAGGCGGGTGGATCACGAGGTCAGGAGATCGAGACCATCCTGGCTAACATGGTGAAACCCCGTCTCTACTAAAAATACAAAAAACTAGTCCCAGCATTTTGGGAGGCCGAGGCGGGTGGATCACGAGGTCAGGAGATCGAGACCATCCTGGCTAACATCAAAAAAAAAAAAAAAAAAAAAAAAACTTAGCAAGGCATGGTGGCAGGCGCCTGTAGTCCCAGCTACTCGGGAGGCTGCGGCAGGAGAATGGCGTGAACCCGGGGGTGGTGGAGCTTGTAGTGAGCGGAGATTACACCACTGTACTCCAGCCTGGGAGAGAGAGCAAGACTCCGTCTCAAAAAAACAAACAGAAATACAAAAAAAGAATGATAATTCTGCAAGTTTAATCTCAAGATGATCTTCATCAGATTCTATATATTCCATTCATTTGACCAAAAACTTTATATAGCACATCAAGCCATCTCTAGGACTTTAAAAGTCAATGTAAAAAATGGTCACCTTCAGGAATATGCCCACCTTTGGGAAAAAATTGTAATGATATTATACTTAGGTTTTATTTTATTTTTGAGACAGGGTCTTGCTCTGTCAACCTGGCTGTAGTGCACTGGTGAGATCATAGCTCACTGCAGCCTCAATCTCCTGGGCTCAAGTGATCCTTCCACCTCAGCCTCCCAATACACTCAGTTTTTAATTTTAAGCAAGGATTGTCTACACTTGCGATGTGTTATTTTCTGACAAAGGCTTGCAAATGAGTCAAATCTTTTTTTCTTTCTCATTATTTAGAAACAAAATATGAGATTTTAAAAATACGCCAATTGATGCTTAAAGTACAAAACAGAATTACCAATATCCAGCTGTGGAAGTAGATTTTTTAAAGCCCTAACAGTTTAGATCACTTTATGATCTGGAAAAAAAAATTCTAAGCCTAAAAAAAGTCTTAGTGTTTATCAAATGAATTAGTCTGTTCAAAGAAATCTGTTAATCACAAATCATTTCCCTTTGCAAAATCCCTCCTCCCTCTCTACCACAAGAATAAGCTTAATAAGATAAAATTTCCATGAGCCTGACAGGTAATTTCCAGTCTGGCAATCTACTTATCCTCTGGCACTGTGATCATGTTGCATATTCAGTTAACTGTTTTACCAAATAGAATGGTTAGTGCTATTCTATTTTGATTTGTCTATTAGATCTAGGGCAGGGGTCCCAAGCCCCAGGCTACTGACTGGTACCAGTCCATGGTCTGTTAGGAACTCGGCCATGCAGCAGGAAGTGAGTGGTGGGTGAGTGAGCATTACCGCCTGAGCTCCATCTCCTGTCAGATCAGCTGCGGCATTTAATTCTCACAGGAGTGCGAGCCCTATTGTGAACTGCAGGTGAGTGACCCTTAGAAGAATCTAATGCCTGATGATCTGAGGGGGAACAGCTTCATCCTGAAATCATCCCTCCTACCCCATCCATGGAAAAACTGTCTTCCAAGAAACCAGTCCCTGATGCCAAAAAGGCTGGAGACCACTGATCTAGGGAATCCTGTATATTTACTATTATTTACTTCATTCCAAGGCTTAGGACTATAATCCTAGCCATACAAGGCAAATACATGGCAGCAATCATACAATAAAAGGCAATTATAAGTGACTTAGTTCAGAATCTTCAACATTATGAGGAAGAAATAAAACACCTCAAAGTATATAGTATACTGTACTGGGTCAGTGACATCAATTGTTGTTGTATATTTAAATATCTTGGACCTCACTACACTAAAGGACTATCTTATTTTTTCTGAGACAGGGTATCACTTTATCACCTAGGCTGGAGTTCAGTTGCACGATGGCTCACTGCAACCTCCGCCTCCCAGGCTCAAGCGATCCTCCCACCTCAGCCTGCTGAGTAGCTGGGACTATAGGCATGTGTCACCATGCCTAGCTAATTTTTGTATTTTCTGTAGAGATGAGGTTTCTCCACATTAGCCAGGCTGGTCTCAAACTCCTGAGCTCAAGCTATCCTCCTGCCTCAGCCTCCCAAAGTGCTGGGATTACAGGCATGAACCACCATGCCTGGGCCCCAGAGATAAACTTGTAGGGGACTTGGACCTAGAGGCAGAGTTCTGAACTGGCTACAGGCACTGGACATTTCTGTTGAGGAAAATATCTATGTGACATAAACAGCCAAGAGCTTCATAACTATGCCCTTCTCTTAAATATTCCCCCTAGGCTGGACGTGGTGACTCATGCCTGTAATCCCAGCACTTTGGGAGGCTGAGGCATGAGGATCTTTTGAGCCCAGGAGATCATGACCAGCCCATGCAACATAGTGAGATCCT